CATGAAATTCAAGATATGTACAACAATAAACATATTCCCTCTGGCAAAATTATATGCTGTGTTTTCATTGAGGATCATGTTTCAAAATTTGAATTTGCGCATCAGAAAAAGTCTAATGGAAACACGCAAACTTCGAATAAATCACAGCTCATGATGAGGACCCTCTATTAAATCTGACTTGTGTGTATTATTTTGATCTGTATGTTTTTAAAATGTGAAGCGCTTTGTGATCCTGGACAGTCAAAGGCTCTATATAAATACACATACGCAACAGGGATGTGTGACCCATCTATTGCTGTGGCAGGCTCTGCGCTGCGTAATTACGCACGGCTATTTGTATTCCTCATTCACATCTGGTAAAGCAATGTGTTATTTCATTAGATTTGTGTAAGCCTCACACAGACACACACCCCAATAAGGCATCGATGGTATTGCTCACTCAAACGTCTCACTGCCCTGTCCAGAGTGCGCAGCGAGTGCCGTGAGAGGTCGCGCCACATGTGCAGAAGTTTTGGCTCCAGAGTTTCTTTGTGAAATCTGGACCGCAAACGCTCTCTGAAGTGTACAGCGCCTCAATGCGCACTTCTACCCCGAGCCAGGCTGCGTCCAAGACGCTGCAGACGCTTCATTCAGAGCCACCGCTGCATAATATATATGAATTAATTCATTCATTCAATCAATCTATATTTATTCACTTCTACAATTCAAGAAGGATTTTTCTAATGTATCAAAACATTTTGGCAAATTGCGTAAATGGAATATACACCCAAAATGTACATCTTTTTCAACGCAAGTTTCATAAATGAGCTTGTGTGTATGTGCGCGCGTGAGTGCGTGTGCGTGCGTGTGTGCGTTTGAACCATATTCTTTGAAACCCCAATTCCAGTTAGCCCTTGTAGTTTTCAAGCGAATTTGGCCTACTTACTAATCTGCAGGCCTACCCAAAATTGCAAACCTGGCGCCAATACTGTTGCGAGGATGAACGGAGGGAGGATATGTTTCCAAAAAGAAAAGGTGGTGGAGCTAATTTTACTTTTCTTATCTGCAACACGTTCTTATTCTGAGGTGGTAGGTTGTAAAAATGTAGTTGGCTACCAATGCGAGATCTACAAGGCTTATAATATAAAGTATTCAGTAGCCCTATGAGCGAAAGCCGCTTGTTGCTCCATTATCCGCGCGCAGCAATAACATGTCTATGAGCGAGGCCCGCAGTCGGGGAACACCGGGCCCTCCGGCGTTTGGAAGGTCCGATGTTCCCCGGGTCCGGTGTTCCCCGCCCCGGGGAACCCCGGACCCGGGGAACTCTGGACCCGGGGAACACCGGACCCGGGGAACATCGGACCCGGGGAACATCGGGCCGACCCCGTTTAAAAGCATTGACTCCAGTCCTCAGCCCTGGTTTGATCCTGGTTTAGCTCCTGTTTTGGTTGTTTTCTAGCGTGCGTGATCACTTTGCTGCTCTCTGATGTGGAGCGAGGATGTTTGCTGCTGTGAACCGCTGCAGCAGAGAACAGTTTTTAAGCCAGTATGATCCATGCTTCAGTGATCAGAGTTTGCACGTTTTGTTTTTTCTTGTTTTGGGAGCATACTGTGGCGTGCAAAAACCAAAACTCCGGTTATCTCTGTCCACACGCAAATGCATACAATTATTTATTTTTAATGTAATGCGATCTTCCAATACTACCTTTGCGATCGACTGGTAGATCGCGATCGACGTATTGAGCTTAATATATACAGTCTATGATTGAGCACTCCAGAACTAAAACATCAGCAAATAGCAGCTGACACACCTGTGTCTCGCTCAGTGGGGGAGGGTCCCAGCTCAAAAGTGGCCAAAATGACGTCCGCTGACATGCTTGCAATACCACCCCGGGCCGATGGGGGTGGACCCAGAAGTAGAATTAGCCAATGCTAACATATAGCATTGGCAGACCTCTCAAAAACATCTTTACAGGATGGACCAAAAGTTGGCTCTTGGCCCAAAGCTCCGTTCCACATGTGTGTCAATGCTGAGGGGGGTGGATTTTATTGGTCCACTCTAGTTTACTTGCTGTGAATTTTTTAAGTCTCTCGTTCAAATGAATGGAGTTGCGCCGGCTGACGCATGCGCAGATGGGTTTTTCACAATTTTCTTGTGGGCGGGACCACTCGCGGCCATTTTGGATTGCTCCAGTAGAGCAAATTTTTTGGCCCATTAGTTAGAACGGCGGAGATAGGCGTGACTCTGTCCATTAATATATACAGTCTATGGTCTCGTTGCTCCTCCTCCGCCTCCTCTTCCGCTCACAGGAGTTGCTGCTCCTTCTCCTCCTCCTCACACACCATTGCTCCACACAGAGCGCTCTTTCCTGCCTCTAACTCACTCAGAGTTTGAGTTGGTCTATGCTTGTTATACTTTTGAACAAGAAAAGTCACGGAGCTCAGGTGGCGCTCCAGTATAATCGGCCCGTCTGAAACTCATTAGTGAGGAACGTTCCACGCTGGAAAATACACATGCGATTAAAATGCATAATTTTTTTTAACGCGTTAATTTTGTGGCGTTAATTAATTGTAATTAATGCGTTAAAGTCCCGGCCCTAGTAAAAACTAAATTCTTTCGGGTTAAAATGCAATGTAATGCACGATACTGAACTTTGTACCAAGTACAGTTTTTTGTAATGCCTTACATTACTGTGTTACAGCAAAAAGTAATTCATTACAGTAATTTCATTACTTTTGTAATACATTACTCCAAACTTCAACTTTAGCATAATAAAGAAGATTTGCCAATGGGACAAAGTCATTTAGTCTTATTTCAAGAACTGTTGCTTTACTTTCTCTTTCCAAGGGAGACATGTCTTATATCTTTTCAAAACAAAATCATTTTGCTTTGTCCTGTTATCGAATCTTGTTAAGATTGTTAAGATAGTGAAAATGTGCTTTCATCACTTTTTGCAGTGAACATCCTTGTATTTGAAAACCTGTTTCAGAGCTCTAAACACAGGGACAGCCAGATTTGTATAATACTCTACAACATTATATATACATTTGTAATCTAGATAATCAAAGTCTTTGACAATATGCAAAGACTTTGATTATCTAGATTCCATTATATTCTTTACAAAGCAACAAATATATTACCAAAAATGTTGCTTTGATTGCAAAGCAACAGTCTTTTGTCTCCTCTCCTTGCTATTCATTGTGCAGCTTGGATAAGATATACATTTTAAAGTATATCTTAAAATGTATATACTTGAGAGGCTTGGAATAAAATATATATTCGTAGAGAAAAGCCAAGGAAGTTGCACGTCGCTGTTTACTCCATGCACACCTTTGGAAAACTTTATTTGGACAAACAGTACAAATTTAACGGAGCACACTCCTGGCTGTTGAGAAATCCACTGAGGCAAGCTGAAAACACGAGCCGATGCGGTGAATTGTTGTTTAGATGTTTACAAGAAGCTAGAATGTGTAATTTGGTACAATAATCCTTGACACTCTATAAGTTACATACACCGCTTTCTAACCGTGACTAAAACCTTGGAAACCAATTAAACGTCTGGGTACACTGTTCTGGTCTTCACCTCCGGTTTGCATCCGCCGCATGTTTTGGACGAATAGAAAACTGTTTTAACACTAATCCCGTTGACACTATAAATATGTAGAAGGTACACTTGTCTCGCGTTTTGCAGTTCTGCCCAAAATCTGTTTTTTTTTCCCTCTCTCCCTCTGAATTAATTTCTGCAGCGGTGGAAAAACATGTTTGAGTTTTTGCTTGAAGCCTGGGCAAACAGAAAGTAGCACATGTAGAGTAGTTGGGGTCTGAATGGAAATTATAGTCTGTGTAGAACTAGGAAATGAAAACGGGTTGCTGCAGCTGCTGTTTTGTAAATCAAAAAAACATTATTTTCCAGAAAAATGAAGCATTTCCCCAATGAGCACATGTGTTATGTTTTATCTGAATTTGAACAGAGATCAATAACTAATGGACTGAACAATAGATCAGAAATAGAAACATTTTTAAGAGGTTTAAAGAAGCCTTTGTGCTAAACCTGCAACCTATTTACAATATATAAACTATTAATTGATTTTTATGAAGATATTTCACGGTTACTGCATTTTCGTTTGTGTAATTACTGCTGCATTTCTAAATATATTTTTTTATTTAGAAAAATTGGTAACACTTAAGCCCTCGCTACATAACAGCTAATTAAGTGCTAATTAGTGTACCCTAACCCTAACCCTGACCCTGACCTTAACCGTAACCCACATGGGAAAGTGTTGATGTTGAATAAGGTCATGTAGAATAAGGACTAAAACATGCTTCTTAAATACCAATTAAGAAATAATTAACCATTAATTACATGTATTAGCACTTCATTATCAGTTAATTAGTGTGGGCTAAACTAAAGTGTGACCCAAAAATGAACACATGAATGTCAGTAACTGTGTAGGTAGTCTTTATTAATATAGCGCATTACACAAACCAAGGTCACACAAAGAGCTTACAATATTTACCCCGCACACAGTGATTATGGGTGCTTCTGACCATCATCATCCATTCACTCGCTCATTACATTCATATCTATTGTACAGGTTTTTATTAGTAGGGGACATTCTAACACAGACAAGAGGAGAACATCAAATTCCACAAAGAAAGGCCACGACTGGAGGTGGAATCAAACCCAGGGCTGCGCCACTGTACCCAAAGAAGCCGCTGCTGTGGTCACAAGTCAAACGAGGAGGTGACGTTATTAAGTCCATTCAGGAAGCAGAGGCAGAGCAGACCTTTTAGGAATAATCTTTCTCCAAATTTTGCAAGTTGTATTTAGTATAGGGACAAAATTATATTGAAGCATCAAAAACAATGAAATATATCAAAAGTGCGTACATTTCTGAAGGTGGCACTTAAATGATTGTCGTGTAGAATTGTGAGGTAATACGCCCAAAATGTTCCTGTCTCTGGATCAATGGCGTTCATATACAGTACAAAGCCTACAAACAGTCTATAAAGGCACGTCTCATACGAAGTACTCTTTTCGATCCATGGCGTCCTTTAGAGCAGGGTCTTTCCTCAGAGCTGCGTCGGCCGTCTCTGCGAACTCCGTGCCCTTGGCCTCGTTGGTCAGGTAGGATCCTTTGTGCCGGAACATGTATCGAATCACCACCAGCGCCGTCACCAGGAGAACCACCACCACGGTGGCAATGACGGCTGAAAGAGATATAGATCATATTATTTCAATTCAACTTTATTAAAAACTCTAGGCCCTGTGCCCTTGAATAAGTTATTAACGCATTGAAATATTTAAATGGACACAGCGAAGTCAAAATCAATATTCCCTCACAAAGAAAACACATGGTTGGTTTAGATGCATTAAAAGTCATGATGTCATTCAGTTTATACCCATTATTTTTCTTTCTCTTTTTCTTTATTTACAAAGTGTCATAGTCATACGAGATTCTAATTTCCAAATGCTATAAGTGCTTTACAAAAGGGAACTTCCAGGAAGCTGAATTATAGACCGGGCCCAAAAAACAATACTTGTAAACATGTGGGGTCATATCATATCCTTCCTACTCACACAATCTCTGGAGCTACCTTTTCAATCCATAAAACAATTAGTATACATTATGATTGATATTTTGGAATAGATCAGCAGTTCATGGACCTCGCGTATGAGAGATTGCATCAAATTGTGAAACTTGTGCTTGTAAGTTGGACAATGAAAAATCAGATTTGTAGAATGGCAGAATCTTTCTATGAGTGTCAGGCTTGACACAGGGGGGCGCAGCACTGCTGTCGACCCTGGTTTTCACCAAAAATAGAATATCGAAAGAAGGTGGAGAGGAATTTCTGCTCTGGTAACATTAGGACTGCATGGGAGGGCTTAAACCAAATCATGGGCAGGGAGACAAAGAACAAACGCACTGCGCTCTCTTCTTCTTTGGTAACGGTTAATGACTTTAATGTATTCTACAGTAGGTTTGATAAGACTGATTTTAGCTCAGCTTGTGATTTTATTTGCGATTCGATCCCAGAATATGACCATATTGTTCTTACTGAACAAGAAGTGGCTGCTAGCTTAGCCCAGATAAAACCAAGAAAAGCCATAGGGCCAGATGGCCTCTCAGGGAGACTCCTGACAAGCATCAATTGAAAGGTGTTTTTACTGTGCTTTTTAATGTCCTTCTCCAGACACACACCTGCCCTGAGTCCTGGAAGCTTACAAATATTGTGCCTGTCCCTAAGAACCCTGGAGCATCTGTACTGAATGATTATCGGCCTATTGCACTGACCTCCATCTTGTGTAAAACCATGGAGAGAACTGTAAGCAAATACATGATGTCCTCTGTATCACACTGTTTGGACAACTTACAGTTTGCATACAAAAGTCGGAGAAGCACAGAGGATGCAGCCATCACTCTGTTTAACACTGTAGCCGAACATCTCCAGGCCTCTGACCACTATGCTAGAATTCTCTTTGTGGATTTCACGTCAGCTTTTAACTCGATGCAGGTACATATTTTATTAAGTCGACTTATCAATCAATGAATCAATCAAATTTTATTTATAAAGCGCTTTTCATACAAAAAGTGTAACACAAAGTGCTTTACAGTTTAGTTAAAAACAATCCAACATGCCCAGCCCTAAACCCTCCTCCCCACAGACCCCCCAAAATCACATTTATAATTATATATACAATACACACACCCACACACACACACACACACACACACACACACACACACATACACAAGTATAAAGTCATATCAGCTAAAATAGGTAAAACAATAAAAAGAAATGGGGCTGGGAGCAGATGTAACCGGCTGAAGAAGCGTCATCCAAGGAGCCATCTGCACCAGGAGCAGAGAGCCGGCTGCAGCCACAGGCAACGACACAGGACCCAGAGGAGAGAGGGGCCCCAGACCCCACCAGGCCCAGGACTCAGACCCCATAGGACCCAGAGGAGAGAGGAGGCCCCAGACCCCCACCGGATCCAAGAGCCAGACCCCCGAAGCCACAGCAGACCCCAGCTCTCAGTGCAGAGGGCTCCTCCAGAGGAAACACTGGGGACACTAAAACAATACAATAATACAATAGAAAGTAGAACAATAAAATGTGACAATAAAAAGAAAAATGGCAGCTGCCTAATATTGATAATAACAATAGTAAATGGGTAGACACAATAAATAATTAATTTATTATGGACCTGGGTGTTAATGGAGGTATAATCAAATGGGTCAAAGACTTTTTATCTAATCGTCCTCAAAGAGTAGTACTTGGTTCTGATATCTCAGAAGTGACTGTCTTAAATACAGGTGCGCCTCAAGGGACAATTCTGTCTCCTTTGCTTTTTTCTATTTATACTAATGCATTTCAAGTTCATGAGGAATCTTTTAAACGTTTTAAATATGCAGATGATATGGCTCTTGTTGCCTTACTACAGAAAGGGAACACTGTTTTGGAGAGTCTCTATTTTAATCATTTGTCCATGTTACAGCAGTGGTGTGTGGACAGCTTTTTAGAAATTGTGAAAGATCCCAGACGTAAGACAAAAGAGACTTCGACAAAACTGCAATATAGAGTTTTTATTATCAGAAGGTTTGAGCGTATTCTGATCAAGTACAACGCAGCTTCCCGTCAGAAGTCTGTCTGCAGAAGTCTGCTGTACAGGCAAAGGGTGGCTGTTTATATACACTGTAAATGATTAGGTAAGCATTAGACTTTGGTAGCATGACTATGCAGAAGAAAGCGTATGGTTTCAATGTTCAACCATGGTATAACTATGTTTTCGTAATGGACCAAACTCCAATGTACATGAGATAGCACCATCCCATGCTCTGCACATGTTCAGTGTTTGTTCTGTACAAACACTTTATCTGCTTTATGCCTTTGTAAGCAGTTCAAAGTACAAGTGTTTCTTCTAAACTCTATTGAACTGCTTTAACATGATATTTTAGCAGCAAATAGTAATTAAATATTCACAGTCCCTCTCTTACAAATCAATATTTAATGTAGAGGCGCAAGTCGCTACCTCTCTGTTGATTATATTAGTTTGTAATCATCAGATTATATGACTGTTGAAAAATACAATATAATTTTTTAAAACAAGTTTTTTATTTTATTTTTAAAGTCTTAACTTTTATTATTTTTATTGTTAGATGAACAAGCAACACAAAAGACAAATTAATAAGTGAGGTGTTTTACAGTTATAGTTTTGTTCTAATAAGTTATCTAATCTTTTTAGTAAATAAGGTCCAAGTCAGATGCTTGGATGGCACGTAGAATAATGTTATTTGGACTGGTTTCTTCTTCTTCTGACTCAGGTTCATCAGAGAATAAGTCTCTATGTTGTCTTGCTTCCTGCACCATCATCTGAAGGGCTTTAGAATATGAAGGGGGCTCTGCAAACGCACGATCAATTGTTCTTTGGATCAGTCCCCTAATGCAAGGAATACAACAACAGCCACAAGTTATCAACATACAGATTGATATTATAATTGAGGTTCCTACCATTGCAAAATATTTTCCCCATATTCCAAATGTTTTCTCCAGCCAGTCAATTAAGGGATTGTTGACACCAGACATGTCTTTCAATTCAGTGGAGAGTGCTCTAAGTTGATTAAGAGTTCTAGTCAATTTTCCATCAGGAGCAGTATTATTAACTATGGACGTACAGCAAAGACTTCCAAACATAGAACACACCCCCCCTTTCTCCGCTAGTATCATATCTAATGCCATTATATTCTGTAAGGCCATTAGGGATGTTTGACTTAATTGTTCATGAGTAGCCTCAAAACCATCTCGAGTGTAGTTGGCTAGGCGTTGTACATTATAATGGATAAGATTAATTCTGTTTACATTTTTGTTAACCGTTACAGGGAAAAATGCTGAGAAAATGGGAAATGATTCAAAACCTGCTGCTACTTCATCTACTAATTTATACTCATCTGGAATTCCTCTGACTTGTCCAATGGCGTCAATCCAATGTCCAGATGACATGTCAATTAAAGGGTTGATGGACCTTTTAGCTCTATGGCGAATGATGACTTTGTCCTCCCATTCCCATAATTTTGCATCTGGAAAACTTAAAGCAGCACTCATTAAAGATACAAGGGCACATGTGCCAGTCCATTTTGGTGGTAAACTTCCATATAGAGCAGAACCTCCACAATACCACCACACATCAGCTCTAGCAGTTGTAAATGGTATGTCAATATTGTTGCTTTTGAGTCTATAGGTGCTTTTACATACTTCAAGATGTCCTAAATCATGAAACTCTTTTAAATCTACATATGTGTGGCTAGGGTGTTCAATTGTGATGCATGTAACATTTAAATTGGTAACCTGAGTGCTAAACATAGGTGGTGAAACTCCTTTTTTGGTGACTGGATAAATCTTTTCCCACCCTCTACAGTTAGGACCCGTGTTATCTTTAGACATTACTTCTATCATACATCCTATATCTATACCTTTAGTTGTTGTGCCATTTTTGTTTGTCTCAAAAGTTGTATGAGTTAACATTAATTTTGGTCTAGCTGTTTGACATATTATGCAGTCCGTTTGGTTTGCTTGTTCAGCTTGTTGCCTAACATTTTCTAACAAAGTAAATAAATAAACAAAAAAACAAAACAAAAAAACAAATCAAAACAAATCAAAAAATAAAAACAAACAAAAACAAACTCTATTGGACACACAAGAACTCAGCAGATTCAGTCAAAACACAGACAAAAATGAGCTGAGTCTCAAATTTGAAGCTAATTTCACTTTTCTTACTCTATACTTTTATTCTAATGCTAATTATTTACACTTCACTTATTTCACTGTATTATTTTCACTATTCAATCTTACACTGTGTACTTTACTTTTACTATTCACTTTAGTTTAAAACTATTCTAATCTATTTACAAATATGTTTGCATATTTGCTTCTATTGAGCCATATTCTTAAACATACATTTTAATCTAATAAATCTCTCTATTCTGTGGTTTACTTTCCTTATCAGTGGCACATTATTATGGCAGTCAGTTTTCCAAATACATTTGTTGAACCAGGAAGTGCTGTCACTTCCTCCTATCAGGCAGTTTGGGATGATTGTACATCATTAATCAAATTAGTATTATCCTTACAAGAGCTAATCTATTTTAGCAGGTTTGGGGTTGGGGTCAGTTATTATTCTACAATGGTGTTTGATTCTCTAATCTGTGCTG